CCATGTATATTTCTTCTTCCAATTCACCATTTAAAAATGCCGTCTTGACATCCATTTGGTGAATCTCAAGATTGTGCAAAGCAGCAATCGAGAGAAGCACTCTTATCGACGCTAAACGCGTAACTGGTGAATAGGTATCAAAGAAATCATACCCTTCCTTTTGTTTAAAGCCTTTGACCACCAAACGTGCTTTAAACTTATCAATCGATCCATCAGCTTTATATTTCTTCTTTAGGATCCACTTGCATCCTAAAGGTTTACAACCATCAGGGAGATCAACCAACTCCCAAGTATGGTTCTGCATAATGGACTCGATTTCGCTATTTACAGCTTCTTCCCAGAGTGGTCCATCTGGGCTGGACAGAGCTTCCTTAAGGGAACTCGGTTCATCGTCCAACATATACGTAATAAAATCAGGTCCAAACGTTTTCGCCGTTTTTAACCTTTTACTACGTCTCGGTTCTTCATCAGTACCATCTGGTACAGAACCACTAGCAGTTTCATATGTTCGTTTATTAGAACTAGATTCTGCCCTTTCCTTTAGAGGAAATATATTCTCAAAGAATATAGCATTCCTCGACTCAATCGTGGTACCAACAGATACCTCTGGATTTTCTGATTTATGAACCAGAAATCTATATGCTGTACTATTGTACGAATATCCAATAAATACACAATCGACCGTCTTTGGTCCGATTCTCATTTGTTTTGGTTCAGGTACTGAAACCTTAGCCAAACACCCCCACACTTTCAGGTATTTATAAGACGGCTTACGATTTTTCCACATTTCATAAGGAGTCTCATTTTTCCCTTTAGGTGGTATTTTATTCAGGATATGATTTGCTGTTAAAACAGCTTCCCCCCACATGTTTTGGGGTAATCCTGAATTTATCAACATGGCATTCATCATTTCTTTTAACGTACGATTTTTGCGTTCAGCAACACCGTTCGACTGTGGAGAATAAGGGGCCGTCGTTTGATGAATTATGTCATATTCAGAACATATTTGTTCAAAAGGAGATACATACTCCCCACCCCTATCACTTCGGATTATTTTAATCCTTTTGCCGAGTTGATTTTCAACTTCGGTCTTATAGATTTTAAATGCTTCCACAGCCTCGTCTTTGCTTCTTAATAAATATAAGTAGCAAAACCTTGTGCAATCATCGATAAAAGTAATAAAATACTTTTTACCTGTTCTTGTTTGCACACTTTTCATATCACATACATCAGTATGGATTAAGCCTAATGGTTCAGTACACCTTTCCACCGAGTGAAAAGGCAACTTAGCCATTTTTGCTTCAATACAAATCTCACATTTCTTATGTGATTCAATTTTAGAATTAGGAATTAATTCTAAATTCATCAATCGTTTAAATGCATTTCGATTTACATGTCCCAATCTAATATGCCATATATCAGAGCATTCAACGGTATAAACAGAAATAGGCTTTTCATTATCATTTAAAACGGTTACACGGCTCACGGCCATTACATTCATTTTAAACATACCCTTGTCGAGATAGCCACGACCAAGGAAAGTTCCAAACTTACTAAGAACAAATTTCTTAGCATCAAATACTAGCCTAAATCCATGCTCAACAAGAAGAGATCCGGAGACCAAATTCTTGCGGATGTCTGGGACATGCAGAACATCCTTAAGCTTCAACTCCTTTCCAGAAGTCAGCTTCAGCACCACAGTGCCCACTCCAGCCACATCAGCCGTGGCGGAGTTTGCCATGTAAAGTTTCCGACTCTTAGCAGGAGTGTATTCAGAGAACACCTCCTTATCGGAACACACATGACGAGTGGCACCAGTATCGATGTACCACTCCCTTGGGTTATCCACCATATTGGCTTCAAACACCACAGGCGACATATCAAAGTCGGTCAGTTCACCCGGCACAGGGCTGTGTTCAGCCACAAGAGCACTCGGTTTACCTTTCTTTGGCCCAGCCTTCTTTGGCCTCTTGCAGTCTTTAGCCATATGGTTCGGCTTTCCACAATTATAACAAGTTCCGGTAAACTTCCAAACCTTGGCAGGCTGCTTCCCTTTGTCTAGGGACTTCCTTTTGCTCGAGTTGCCTTGCTCTATCAAGTTAGCACGAGCCTCCATCATCGGAATTTTTCCCGATGAATTACGATTGTCCTCCTCAATACGAAGACGAACAATCAAGTCTTCAAGACTCATCTCCTTCCTCTTATGTTTGAGGTAGTTCTTGAAGTTTTTCCAACCCGGCGGCAACTTTTCAATCACGGCCGCAACTTGGAATGACTCGCTTAGAGACATTCCTTCAGCATGGATATCGTGCAAGATAAGTTGAAATTCTTGCACTTGGGACATGACGGTCTTAGAGTCGACCATCTTGAAGTCAAGAAACTTGCCGACGACGAATTTCTTCGCCCCGGCATCCTCAGTCTTGTACTTCTTCTCCAAAGCAGCCCAAAGCTCTTTGGCAGAACCAACCGAGCTGTACACATTGTACAACTCATTACTAAGTCCGTTCAGGACATAGTTACGGCAAAGGTAATCACCTTGCCCCCAAGCTTCGTACGCAGTGCGTAGTTCAGCATTGGTCTCATTTTCAGCAATAATTGGGGGTTCGTCCTTCAGGTATTTCACCAAACCCAAAGTGGTCTGGTAAAAATGCATCTTTTGTTGCCACCTTTTAAAATCAAGCCCATTGAATTTTTCGGGCTTATCAGCAGTAGGGACATGGACAGCAGGTACATGATTGATCGGATGCTGAGTGTTGGAACCATTTCCGGTGGAAGCCATCAGTCCACTAGGTTGAGATATTCTTCTTGCGATTGTTATCACCTAGGTATAAAAAATACACGGGAATCCTACGAACTGATATGTATTTTTCAGTTCTTACAAATAATCTAAAAATTAAAAAATTACAATCGAACTGAAAAATAAATTACAACCGAAAAATAAATTAAAACTTAAAACGGAAAGATTTTAGCCGAGGCGAGTAAAACTCTTTCCGCAAGAAGAATACGCCCCGTGTGGCAGCTAACGGTTTAGGCGTAACTTTCCCAAAGATACAACGACAAACGTCTCTAAATCTGTAGCACACCAGATTTACGAGCTCCGGCGAACTGGAACGGAGTCGAGAATTGAGCACTTAAAAAATATGAATAAAAATATCTCTCTTTTGTTATTTTGATAACAAACAAATATTTCTATATTTTTTTTTTCTCTAATATTTTTATTCCTACAAAATTATTTTGGACAAATTTTTCTTTCTTTTCTTCCTCTTTCTTTCCTCTCTTTTTTCTTTTCGGTGTGCCTTTTCTCAGCAAAATGACTGACTATTTATAGAGATGCAATTGAGATCAAATTGCAATTGAATAATTGATACAATTAATTAAAAAATGGTTGGCAAAAACTGATTGAGAAATGATTGGGTTGAGTTGGAAAATGGTTGGCCTAACCATTAATAATTGGTTGAGAACGTGATGTTTGTCTTGGTTGTCCAACTTAATAATACACTCACAATTAACTTAATAATACACTCACAATTATATAACACGGTTTTCGTTTAAAAAATGCCAGCCCTATCCCTAGGCACCCAATGACGGGAAATCACACCGAAGGTGCCACATAGTCAATGCTTCACATAGCCATAGCATTGCACCTTTCAGTTATGTCGTACTGGGGGTGCCACACAGTCAATGCATCACACAGCCAATGCATTGCTCCCCTCAATTCTTTCTTTATGCAGTCATTACTTCACACAGTCCAATTCACATAGTCAATTTCACAATTAAGTTCATCACGTAGCACACAATCATATACATATCTCAATTATGGACCATGCGATTATAAAGAATAAAAGCATAAGAGTTTAGCAACACACACTTGGTCTGGGTGATGCACAAATTGTAGATACTGCACACAGTCACTCGAGGCTCGACTCCTCGAAATCTACAATTTATGGTAAGAATATTCTTATAAATCTTAAACTCGAAAAATAACTTAATCAATAACTTAATTGACTAAGTACACTAGTGGAACTCGGAACTCTCAGAACAAGGTTCGAAAAAAGATTCACGAGCCTACCTGAGGTTCGGCACGGAAAACTGCTCGAACAACGCAAAAGTGGCTCAGTTTAGGCACATGGGCTACCGCTGGATTGGGTTCGACCATGCTGGCACCGGTTGCGGGCTGCGGCTAGCACGACACCTATGCGCTCGCTGCCTTCGTGCCTCGGCGTAACCAGCTAGCTGCAAGTCGACCTCGCCGCGTCTGGTCATGGGTGTGCGCCTGGCCACGGCCGTGCGCCCGTCACGGGTTGCGCACCTGGCACAGGTCACGGGTCTGTGGAGATAAGGTCTATGGGCGTAGTCACCCAAGAGACAGCACGCTCGCTGGTGCTGCTGCCGCGGGGCGCTGGGACGCGCACGCACGCACCTGCTAGGAGACTCGCTGTAGGGTTGAGGTATGGCCTCATACACTGGCCTAGGGAGCTCGTGTCTTCGGTGATGGCGGCTGCAGCTCTCGTGCGAGTAAACGGTTGGCCCCGTGCGTAGCCTCGCGTCTCTCAGTACGGGCATGCGTGCTCGACCAACACCTGCGTGACTTCATCCGGCCAGGGCTTGGCCTTCGGATTAAAAACTTGCACTAGTGTCTAAGGCTCACGCAAAGAGTTTTTCATAGTTTTTCCAAGTTTCATGGTAACACAACAACTCCAAAAATATGAGGCTACACAAAATTAAGTCCAATGCACCAAGGAGTTCTCAAGTCCACTAGATTTTACCAAAATAATCACACAAATTTATTCCCAAATTTTTCCAAGATCCAAACTTCACAATCTAATGCACAAACAATAAAAGAGGGTTTTTATCGAGATTCACTTCTCTTCAAGAATCTACATGCGCAAGAGAATGAGGGATTGATTCAAGAAGGCTCGGCATGACTAAAGTGCTCTAAGTCTCAGTTTTACCACTCCTCGGCTGCCCACGCTCACATCAGATCTTAGCTACTTCCGCAGCACAGACCACAAATGTGCTCATCGGTGTTCGAACTGATCGTGGTCGGCTCGTCTCTGCCGCTATTGCCTAGTGCGTGCACGGTAGACCTCAGACGGTTCATCTCGACACAGTACAAGATCACAGTTCAACGCGGCTGAACGGGTATGAACATGGGCTTGCCTCAGCTTGCGGTTGTTGTCCCCTGTGGCTCGGATGATGGCGACTGAGGATGTATGTTCGCGGCTGAACATCGGAACTGTTGCTGCAATGTGTGCTCATGGGAGTTCGACCATCGGTGAGAAGGCTACACAGCAACCTCAGTTGCCTTCGGTTTCGGATTTGAGGATGCTGAACGTCCACGGCGCCTCTCGACGATAGACGCTACTCCTCCGCTGCTACTTGTTGCGATGCACCTCGGCGTCGGGCGGCGGTCGGCTGAAGGCGTGCGAGCGGACGTCGCCAGGATGCTCGCGGCAGCGTGCTCCTCCTCGGCTGGGCTTCTCGATGCTCGTGTACGGCCACTCGCGATGGGCCGCTGCGAGGCGCCGGCGGTGGCTGATTTGCAAAGGAGAAGAGCGCCCCGAGATGCTGCGGGAAAAGGATAATTATTTGGAGAGTTGCTGAAAGTTTTGCTTGGTTTCAAAACCACTATGGTCTGCACTAGAGTGAAAAATGTGGGGAAGAAGAAGATGGATTTGGGAGTCTTTCTTAATAGAAAAAACCAAAGAGATTAAAAGGGATTGATAATACCATAAAGGGATCACATTAAAGACACCTATATTGGTTAAATCAAAGGAATATGGTGCGTTTCCCCTTGGTCAAGGAGGGCTCTTATGGCAGAATTATTATTAGCAAAACTAGGCTCCAATGAGTTTGAATTTTGGATATGTAAGATGGAGCCAAACTTTTTGGCATAAACATGTGGACGGGTCTGAAACTCATTTGGGCCGGAGTTTTCACAATAAAAAGGCCGGTTATTTGAATAATATAAGGCCGAAAAATATTAAGTCCGAATGGACAAGGGGCCGACTAAATTAAAGAAAGGCGCACGAGACGGTTGCACTCGAAATCGAAAACGAATGATTTTTCGTTAGTAAACGAAAATAATAATTTTAGAATAATTTAGTTTGACAGGAACATCTACGAAAATTATTCTACTCAAATGATTATTAGACGAGGATATCTAATTAATCTTATTGAAATTATAAGTTTAGTCGAATTAATCGAACAAGCAAAATAAATTCACACAGGCATATAATAGTCAAACCGACTCCTAACAATCGAACGAGGCACTACAATCTACCCTCCTTAAGAGATTTCTGTCCATTAACACACAAGATACAAAGGACAACTCAAAACACACAGTTAAGATACTCCGTCTGAATCTCGTCCCTGCTCTCCCAAGTCGTGTCACCTTCACCATGGCTGCTCTACTAGACTTTGACGAGCGTCATCTCTCGGTTCATCAACTGATGGACCCTACGGTCCAAACAGCTTCCGGTACCTCCTCATAAGGAAGGACATGTGCGACATGCAACTCATCAAAGTTCACCACGTGCTTGGGGTCGTGCACACATATCTCCTCACATCGAGACATGAAACACTTCGTGCACACCCGAGAGCTCCGGTGGTCGAGCCAATTAATAGCCTAGGCCGCCGACTTGGTCTAAAATATCGAGGGGTCAAAAGCGCGGCTGCAGCTTCCCCCTCTTCCCGAATTGTATCACACCCCTCATCGGTGAGATATTCAAGAATGCTGTAATGCCTACCTCGAACTACAGATCCTTCCTACGTGGTTCGGCGTAGTGCTTCTGCTGGTCCTGGGCGAACTTGATCCTCGCTCGGATGTCATCTACTTACTCTACAGTCTGCTTAACAATCTAGGGTCTGAGAACTTTCTTCTCGACGACCCTAACCATGAAGAATGGCGATTTACAACTGCGCCCATACAAAGCTTTGTACTTTGTCTTTTGAAACGTCTCCCGATAACTATTGTTATAGGCGAACTCTTTGGATGGTAACGCGTCTTCTCACGCGTCGCCTCGATCCATAACACAAGACCTCAACAGGTCTTCAATTGTCTTGATCATATGCTTCGGCGATTCCTCTGTCTATGGGTGGTACATAGTACCAAACAACATCCCTGTGCCTATAGCACGCTGAAGCCTCGTCCATTTCCTAGGAGTGAACCGTTTGTCTCATTGGAACGATTGGCATGGCACCCCATGCAGTCAAATTATCTGTTCTATAGTCCCCTTTGGCAGTCATGGCACCTTCGGAATACATAGTTCGATCTCTAATCGGGCAACTCCCAAATCAACAGCTTCTGCTGAGTAATTAAACGGCTAGCTCGTCTCGACCATTTCGACTGAGAACGTCGACCGCCACGTTAGCTTTCCCAGGTGCTAATCGTGTCAGCAATAGTAAACAAGCTCAAACCACCTTCCCTGCCCAAAATTTACACGTCAAGAACTTAGCGTAAAGCTTCTCTTGTCTAAGTGTCTCTAGCACCACCTTCAGATGCTCTTGTTGCGTCTCGGCGTATCCATAATAGACCAAGATGTCATCGGCGAACATGACGACTGATTAACCTGTAGTGCCCCGTTTGCTTCTCGTGAAATTTTAGTATTTTTATTTCATTTATTGACTCGCTTTTATTTATTTAATTGCCTGGTTTTATTTGATTGATTGTCTGTATTTACTTTATTATCACTACATGATTTTAATTATTTTTATGTGCATTGCTTGTTTTACTTTACTTATGTTCATTGCTCATTTTTATTTTTATGTGATTGCCTTGTTGATATTGTTGGATTGTCTTATATTCTTATGTGCTTGCTTTTATATTTTTAGTGTTATGTGTATGATTTGGTAGAATTAATTTTATTTATTAGTTAGTTTGTTCGGTTATATTTCCAGTTTAGTTGCGTAATTTTAATTTTGAACCGTTATTGATATTTTCTTGAACCTTGGACCCGGCCCAATCTTATTTTTATTTCAGCCCGTTTGGAAGCAAATTAATTCGGCCCAATTTAGTTTTATTTTTTCGGACCTATCATGTTATTATTCCCGACCCAATTTAATTGTATATTTCGGCCCAAACTGAGACAAAATTAGCCATTTTGTTAGCCCAAGCAAACTATTTCAGCAGCCCTTCCCTCTGTTCACCTCATCATCGCGTCCAAACTCCCAGGTTTTCCCCCTCGGCAGAGCTTCGATTTTCCGACAACCAGACCACCAGACTCCCGGCGTAGATGGAATATCGTCCGACGGTGCGCGCAACAGAGCCGATCCCGCGGCCCGAGACGCATGAACTCCCCGATTGAAGCAGCAACCGCCGGCGACCAATGGAGCTCCAGTTCCCGACGGCGAAGACGGGCTTCCTCAACGACCAGACCAACGCTGGCGAGCCACCAGACCTTCGGATGAGAACTATTGTCGGCGAACAGAGGAGAAGATGAGAGCCGATTTCTCACGAAATATAACCACAGCCGACGGCAGCCACCAGGAGCGGCGAGGCGAGTTTCGTTCGCGGCTGAAACCACCACCGCCGAGGCGACATGTCCGACCCAACCTTCGTGGGCTGAGGATGAGCAGCGGCCATCGACCGTTTTTCCGGCAGAGACGAGTGCTGCGGCTGGATTTTTAATTTTTCGGCAGCAGCAGGCCGGGAGTATCGTCGAGCCCTTGAGCCTTTTTCCTTGGCCGTAGAAAGCCGAGAGAGCCGAGAGCCTCAGCCGAGGCCCTTATGAGACCTAAGCTTTTCGTCCTTTACCTTTCCCGAAGAGAAGTATTTCAGCCAACCGAGTTCTTTTCCTTTTACGTTCGTGTTGCTGAGGGTTAAGTTGAGCCGAGAACGTGATTAATCATGCTTAAACATTGTTGAATTATGAAGAGGAAATGAGATTTTTATTTGTTATATTTTGAAGCACGAGTAGCCTTATTGCTGAAGCCTGTAATGAGATTTTTGGCTGAGATTATGCATGATCTTTTGGAGTATTAATTTCAGTTTTTAAGATTTGAGAAAAGAAGAGAAAGGAAAGCATGGAAATGTGTTGTAGTTGTACCATTGTTTTGCCTGATTTGCTGAGCCCTATTTTTGTATGTTCATGTGCTGTCAAATGCTTGTTTACGGTGGTTATAAACTCAGTTTATGGCCTGGGATAAGTAGTGTTTATGTTGAAAGTTGGAAGAAGAAGAGAGTGGTGAGTTAGCCTTGGTTTTAGTTGTTAACATCTTGGTTATTTTGACTCCCTTAAAACCTGACTTTTATTTGATTCATATGCTGATTTTGAAGGGTTAAATTTCAGTTTTAAAGTGTACTAAGGCATGCTAAGGACTTGGTGAATGGTTGAGAGACTTGAAGTTGTTTATGAAATGTTTTTGCCATGAATTTATTTTGTATTGGCTGAGGCTTTTATGATTATAAGCATGCTGTAAGTGCTTGATTTTCATAGGCATTCGTCAGTTTAGTTTGGCCTAACAGATTGCTTTAAGAGGCTTGAGAAACATGAAAGGAAAATGAAAGCGTTAATTCATGTTTGTATGTTGTGGTAGCATTATGCTGTGCTATATGGTTAATCCCCCTTCCCCCTTATATATTAATTGAGAACGTGCTGAGCCTATGTGGCAGGCTCGCATGTTTCGGGATCCTATGTGGCATAAATACATGCTTCGTTATTAGGCTTGGGTAGATTTAGTTTACTTCTAATCCAAATATATTTAGGTTCGGATTATCTATATTACCTTGATTATTTATGGTAAGGGTGGGCGCCGGCCGGGACGGTCCTGGATTTGACTTGTCCGGATACTCATCCCACTTTTATGAACCCGTTCATGAACGGTACGGGATGAGGCACCGTCGGCACCCATGTAATACATGGGTGTTGTACTAGTTAGTGTTTAAATTGAGAGGTTGTGCTTAGTTTTTTTTGGCCTTGATTTATTTGAAAAGGTGAGAAAATTAGTTAAGAATAAGAGAAAGAAGAAAGACATGCTTTATTTTGGTTAAAAAAGAACATTTGATAATGCTGTATGTATTTATTTGTTGTTAAGTTACTGCCAGCTTACATTTTTGAGTTTAGGTTATAAACTGAGTTAACTCTTTTTATTTATGTGGCTTTATCTCATTATTTATGACTGCATTATGTGATTTTATATGAATTGTTGTCCGTATCATGTGCTTTTATTTGTTTAATTTTATTTGCAGTATGTGCCTTACGTGTTTTTAATTGGTTGTCCTGCTTTTTAATCAAACCCCTTATTAATAATAATAATTAAACTCTAATTTGTATATTAGGAGGAGTCGAGCCTCGCCCTTGTTTGCACGTGCATTCAACATCATCCTTGGCGATATCAGGTGGGTGTTGATAAACCTTACCGTGTACGTTATTTGATATAATTGCTTGGCTTGATAATCAATGTATGTATGTGGACCGTTAGTCTATGAGAGGGTTATCTACGTTGATGGATTTCCGACATCTCCTAAATTTAGCCTTTAGAGAGTATTCTCTCGTTGATGCAGTTCTGACGGTTTAGCTCCCGGTGATGGTGTGCCGACGGTTAGATGTGATCACATGAGCGTAGGGCTGTTAGGGAGGTAGAC